TCACTTGGAGAAGGAAGTTTTCATCTGGAACTTGGAGGTTCCAGGAACCTCCTAGCTTACTTGTGCCCTGCTGTGTTGTCTCTCCAACAGATATTGGGGTGGTTGAAGTCGCCTTGGTGGCTTCAAGGTATTTTATTTATTGTTACTGCTTCTCCAGAGTGGAAGAACTGCACATGTTCTCCACAATTTCTTTCAAAAGCCATACTTTTTTTTTGTAGCAGTAATAAGAAGTGAAAATATGTTCATTCTTATGTCTCAGTTTGTAAGTGTCGTGGCTGTAAAGTACTGCTTTAGTTTTTTGGCATAAGCATGGGTATGATTAAGAAACAAAACAGATTCATGACTTCATTTTCATTACACTTTTTTTTCTTACTGTATTTTGGACTCTTTTGAAAATGGTTATGGTTGCACACCTGTATATATGAGTAATCCCCTCAACAACAGTGACATGACTGAATACTTTCACAACAGACCTCTGTGGGGTTTCTGAGCAGTAAATTGAAGCACTGTTTTGTAGCTTGTTACATGTGTTTCCTGTTGTGCCATTGCACTTCCTTCAGCTACTTCTTAGTCACAAAAGGAGCTGCAAGAAGATGACTTACAACATTTCTTAGGACACTCTGCTTTTCCAGAAAACGGACCAATGCAAAAAAAAAAAGGTGGTAGGAAATGAAAAACCTGTTCCAGGTCTGGTCTAGTGGGAGTGCAAAACAATAAGCTTTTGCACGTGTCCTCAGAAGAGCTTCTGGCAAAAGTTCACTAACACATAGAATTTGCAGTAGACTGATGGAGGTCAGGGAAGAGTTGTGATCATCAGCCCCTCTCAGGTACCTTGTGTGACTCAGATATTCGTCGTACCAGCTGGGCTCCGGGAAAAAGCTGTTTTCCTTAAGGGATATAATGCCAATGTCTCAAACTAATCAATATGAATGCTGACTGCTTCTTCCAGAGCATAAATTAATATGAGTTCATCTAAGGGACTTTGTATTCATATGCTTGTCAAACCTGATTGTGCTTCCCTGAAACTGAGAGAAGCATGAAGATGTATTGGTGTCCTGCCAGCTTCTCCCACTGGGGGAAAAGATAAAATAACCCTAAACTGATACTCAAAACCGTACCAGTCAGAGCAAATAAATGCAAATCCTGTAGCAGCACCACAGAGCGGTCAGGAGTAGTGGCAGGGAAAGGGAAGATAGTCTCTTGGAGACTTTGTCAGAAGTTAGAATGAAGGACAAGGTGGGAAACAGGTGGGTAGCCTCCTGTGTGTTACTCGCTGGGTAACAGCGGGCAGTGGTCACTCACAGCCGTTCTCCCAATGCAGTTCAGGGACACCACCACCCCTTAGCACCCTCCATCACCCAGAGAAGTTGTTCCTCCCCTGAGATGCGTCATGCTTCCGAGTTGAAAAACTAGAGTTTACAAGTCTGAGCTTATAAACAACTCACCGAAAGGTGTTTTCAGAACGGACTACTTCCATGCAGTGATTAACCTCTGTTTAATGTGATCGTGTTTTTACATGCCAAACCAATTCTAGATGTTGTACAGAAAAGCTCAATAAGCCACTTGGGTTTGGTGGGGTTTTTTATGTTCCGTTAGAAGTACAGCACTGGATATTTTTGATTCAGTTGTGGTCTTGGCTTGAATCTCTGAACATAATGCATATTTCAAGTCATCTCTTTTTTTTTTTTCCCCCTCTCCCCCCTCTTCCCTCCATTAATTTCATACAGGGAGCCTGGTGAATGGGCCCTTGAAAGAGCCAAGCTGAATGTTAATGAAAATTTTCTGCTTGTGGGCATTCTGGAGGAGTTGGAGGATGTGCTGCTTTTATTAGAAAGATTCTTACCTCATTACTTCAAGGATGTGCTTAGCATCTATAAAAACCCAGGTAACTTTTTCTTTAAAAAAACTATTCTTATAGAGACTTCGGCAAAATCTGCACAGCTGCTGAAAGGTACGTGTTTATGTCTTGTGTAGTCATTTATCTCCATTTTAGGGAGCAGACTTCGTGATTGGGGAAGGGTATACATTGTGCTTTTAATGTTGCTGTGTCATTTTCTTTCCTGGGCAAGCACTTGGTGCTCCGATGATCTTGCCATATGCCAGAAAGCTTCCTGTTTATCCCTGGATTGGCTTTTCTTCTTTCAGTTCTGTCATACTCAACTCTCAAATAATACTGTCAAAATATTCTCAAAGTAGTGTCAGCAATATTTACCTAAGTAAATCTTCAAGAAGTGGTCTGGGGAGCTGGATGCTTTGGAGATTTTACAGTACCAGGATATTCATTTTCCCTCTCTCTTGACTAAGTGTTGAAATGAAATGAAATGAACTACCTGTTAAATTGGGTTTAGGTAAAGTAGAAGTAAGAAAGTGTATTTACAGCACTTTAAGTACAAAGCATGCTGAGGAAAAATACGTAGGAGACTCGAATAGAGAAATGAAAACAGAGAGCACTTAATCTACCCCTTAATTTGCACCCCACAGTCAGTCTGAAAGGGTTCTCTCTTCTCTGTGTCAGTCCATCCCTCCCAACCCTTATTTATCGCTAACTTCTTCAGGAGGCAGTCCCAAGAAATACAATGCTTCTGTGGGGCTTTGCATGTCATTCCGGACGAACTGATTTCCTGCTTACATTTGGCTGGGCCATCAACATCCTATGAACCAGGACGGGGCAAAACTTGCCTTTGGCTTGCTGACTTGGTTGCATTTGTGTCCGTGGGAAATGCCCACAGCCACTGAAATATGTGTTTTGTACCAGGTTGTATGTTAAAAACACGTGGATCATGGACTGAGTTTGGTTTGTAATGCCTGCAGCTGATGGCTGGCTTGTGACTGGGAGCAGCTGCCACAGTAATGGCCCTTCACTCTGGAGAAGTCACAGGTTTCTGTCCCCAACCAGGATTTATGTGTGGCTGTCCATCAATCCCTGCTTCCAGGATGCATCTTTGCAAATTTTGTATTTAGCAACCTATTTACTTGTATTTAGCAATACAGATATTACAGGGAAAGTGTGGTATTGCTCCTCTGAATGTGCTTTCAGTGGGTCATTTTCTGCGTGCAATATGGCAGGCAAGGCAGCTGTTTAGAAGGGGTGAGCGTTACTTCGTTGTGGTGCTGTATCCAGCCATAGAGCTGTTTCACTCAAAAACAGACGTAAGGAGAGCATGGGATGGTACTGACTTGAGAGCAGTGCCCAATTTTGGATCAGGTGTTTCTCTTTTATTTGCAAATGAAGAAATAAAGACATACATTTGTAGTATGTGGAAATCTTCCTAAATATTTGCACAGTTCAGTCTCCAAGGTTTTCCGATGGGGATGTTAGACAAGAGGGAGGAAGGGGGATCAACAGAAGGATATTCTCTTTGGGAATCTATAAGACTTCCTCAGCTGTTCTGTGCACCATAGATTTTCATTTCTCTTACAGTGGGGGAAGTTAGCAAACAGCACGCAGCCTCCCGATTTTCATCCAGGTGCCCTAGAAGGCATCAGGTGTGAGATGAGCAGTCTCCAGAATAGTTAAGTGCCGGACAATCTTTCTCTTCTCTGTGTATATTCCAGTATCTGGAGCAGATTTGATCCTCTATTGCAGGACAGTGATTTCCTCTGCGATTTCATGTGTGTCATGTCTGAAGATTCATGTCTTTCCTTCAGTATTCCCAATGAGGATTAAACTTTTAGTTTTATTTTTCCCATTTGCTTACTGAAAAGGAAGAACAGAAAGTTTCCTTGTATTAACTCTCTACTCCTCATTTCATACATGTGTATGTTTGGGGGGTTTTCCCAATCATAATTATTTTCAGGTTATTTCTGCGTTGGTGTTAATGCTTACAAAAACTTAACAGAATCAGCCAGAAAGAAAAAAAAAAAATCCAAATGCTGTGTAAGAAAACCTGTATCGTTCTCCTCAAGGCACCCTAGGCCTGATCTGCAACACCCTCTGCTGTTGCATCATGAAGTGCTGGGAAGAGGGGATGTTATTCTGCCCAGCTGTGTGGTGATGCCTTAAAGCAGCAGATACTTTGGGCCAAAACTGACCTTTTGTTATAATTTACAGTTGCAGGTCAGATCTCAAAATTTACAGTTTACTCTGCTGAACTGTTGCTCCACCTGAGAAACACTTATGACACCCTTTCCTCTTTTCCTATCGTAAAGTTTTAGCAGAATTTATCTTGTATCAGTTGAATAGATTGAGATGAGGAAGACACAGTGAAGAACTGTGTACAGAAAGGTGATTCACTTCCAGGTCAGTGAATCTCTGCACCTGAGTTGCTGCAATAATCGCTTCTGGATTAGGCACAATTCAACAACTGGCAGAAGGTAACTGAAGGAAGACAATTTCCATCCAGTGTTTCTTTAGTGGATTACATAGATTAGAAAGAAGAGTAGGAAGTTGGTGATTGCTGTCCCACCATCATCATCGTCTGAACTAAATTAGAAGGACCTACCTCTTCCTGTAGGAAGCAAACTGCTGGATGTTATCAAATCCATAAAATCACATGTGCATTTAAGATGCATCTGTGGGCGTTGTGGGTTAAACCCCTTCTTCCTTCCAAATTTGGGACCCTTCTCCCTCGTTACGAGTGCTTTGGATGGGCACCAGATCACTGCAGCTCCCATCTGAGCAAACTACTTATTACTGGGAGCCTTCAGTATAGGTTGATGCCAACAGGAATCAGGAAATCTGGAAACTTTTTCTCACCTCTATTTCTTTTAACCATGCAAGCTGTATTCAAGCTGCTTTGTTTCTTCTGTGTCTGTAGTGTAAAAAAAAAGAAAATCACATCTGAGACATCATGTGACAACATTTATTCAGGAATTCCTGCTCAGTTGTCCTTCTTCTAGCTAGAAAACGAAGCCTGTGGTCTTTTTACCTTCAGAAATACTTTGCTGCTATTGTTCTGAAGCAGGAGATCAGTAAAACTGTGGCTCTGTGGATCAGATAGTGGGACATTTACATCAGAGAGCACAGAAATATGTATATGTAATGACACAGATAACTGCTGAAGGCAGTGTGACTTGAGTGCTCTTGTGGGTCATGCTAAGGATTTGTTTTAGATAAGCTGGCAGAAACGTGAAATATTAAAAAATAAAGAGTGAAAAGCAGTCAACTTGTTCAGACATTATGACTAACAACTGGCTTTTTCTATTTTTAATATATTTTGCTTGCCAGCTGCTGTGTATTTGTTCTATGCTGGCTTTGACAGTGTCACATTTTGAAATGCACACCAGTTTTTCCTCATATTTTTTGAGTTTAAAAAGTTGGCAGTTGTGGAAAATTTAGTGACAGAGGACACTAGGAGGATAATTTTCTTCATTGCCATAATAAAAATGTTGCTTTCAGTTAATCCATATACCAAATATTTTGATTTCTGTGTTTTATAACAATGTGCAATAAAATGTGAAAGGTCTTTGTGATGCTAAAGTCTTCATTGAAACCAATCTGGTTTTATCTTGTAGAATACTTGAGAGCTACAGGCTTCCTGTTTTTCTCCTTTTCCACTCTCCTTGAAATTAAGTATTTTCTTAATGTTGATACCAAGTCCAGAATTGCGAAAGGACTCTCTTTCATGATGCCTCTCTTGTCCAAGGCGACAAACTCTTCCTGCCTTGGCATCCTGAGCTGCCTTTGACAAGAGATCAAAAGGGGAGGGGCGGTGTGGCGGATGGATTGTGGAACAGATAGATCAGTCAATAGATGGGTAGAATAAATATAAAACAATGTTATGGTTTTTACTAGATTTCTTTGCTAACACAGTCAGATTTACTCAAAATTGTGTCTTTCATTTTTCCCCAGCATTGGAGCAGATAGGGTCCAATTGCAGAGCCTTGGATTATATTCACTTCAAAATCTGATAATATTCCTTAACTCTTTGAAAGGCCTGAAATAGTTATAGCATGACTTTACATGTACAATCTCTCCTCGCTCTCAGGAGCACAACTGAAGGAAAAATAACTGGTCAGTCCTGTTCATTTTTGCAGGCTGTAGCTCACTTCCGTAACCTGGCTGGTAGCCAGAAAGCAGAGAATACTTACACAGTTTCTTTTGAAAAGGGCACGTGTGGGTTTCGTATCTTTGTTGTTTTAAGAGGCAGAAAATACACAGTATACACAGCAAACCAGAATTTTCTTCTACTTTGTCAACTTCTGTGGCACGGGGTGAAAGTTAACAGCATCTAATGTAAAAGAATAGGCAATAAAATGGCTTTTATCACCTCAGAAATAGATCATATCCTCTCACCTTTCTGCAGGACTTCATAAATTTTCTTTGGCACCAGAAACCCTATAAAAACACTTCTTCCCAATACCAGAAAAAAAAAATCTTTGTTTCTTGAATTTACATTCTACATGTGTAGATCTTACTCTAAAGCAAGCAGGCTGACTTAAGCTTTCCAAACAGTGAATTTTATTGAGTGCCATGAAATTACTCATGCTGTCAGCTGGAAGAAGATGTATTGCTCAGGTAAACTGTAAAATGTCCTTTTTTTTTTTTTGGTTAAGAAATGTTGAAAGAAGTTTGATGGAAGGAAGCAGTGGGTTTTGTGCAGTGCCTTGAATAGCGATCGTCTGATGTTCTGCCTTTGTTCAACACAAAATGAAAGAAAAAAACGAGGCTAAGTGATCTGCAGCTCCTAATAGTTCTCCTGCTTCTCACGAGCCATACTTTCTGGAGAGGGTTGTGACTGCTATGTGGAAAGGGAATATATTGGCTCATCTCCTGTGCACAAATGCACCACTTTTGTCTCTCCTACAAGCATCTGCACTCTTGATGTGAGAGTAAAAGCAGCTTGTATTAGATTCAGTTTAAAAATCTGAGGGTTTTTTCTGAGGTTTTGGTTTTGGGGTTTTTTTGTTGTTGTTGTTGGGTTGGGAGGGGTGGGAGAGGGGGGT